ACACATCATTTGGTCACAACGCATGTCATGCTTATGCTCGTGCTCATACGCGTGCTCACGCCTCATCAATGCATTTTCGCACGCTTGCACTCTAGCATACTTGCCATTTATCAATTTCTCCTCCGACCCGCGTTAAACGCATCAGGTCCGACCCGCGTAAAACGCATCAGGCCTATCACTATCCAACACTTCCTAGCCCGCGTAAACGCATCAGGCCCAGTGTCTCTAGCCCGCGTAAACGCATCAGGCGCAACACCGATCTCCATATACGGACCGAACCCGCGTAAACGCATCAGGTTGGCCGTCTTCCGGCAATCCGGGCATCGTCCCGCGTTAAACGCCTCAGGACGGGTTCACTACCCCGCATAAAACGCATCAGGGTTTATTATGATCACACATTCACAAGCACCAATTTTCATCTGAACCCCGCGTTAAACGCATCAGGGCATTTTAGGTGATCACAATGCACATGTCACTCGAGCACACTTGTAAATGCACATGCCGTGCCAATGCTCGTGATGCAAACTCATGGCTATAACGTTCACATATGGGCATTCACTTGCACCGTACCACTTACTCAAATCACGATGCAATCATGCGCATTTGCACCACGCATATTCAATTTCATAAATCAACATGCCCAATCAGACAATCAATTCAAATCAGCCATGACATCAACTTGACACACAATCCATGCACAATCCACACAACCGGGATAACAAGAACCCTCGCATTCGAGGCCCGCCAAGCTATTCCATTCTTAGTCCCGCTAAACAAGCAACATGGCATCCTAAAATCAATCACAACAAGGCTCATTTAGCCAGTCAATTGATCAATGCGATCATTCCCGATAATCACACAATCAAGCCTCAAATTGATCGCGCCTTGTCCAATTAAATCCCGGTATGGACAGCCACCAAGCAGGTCATTCTAGGCCAACAAATACCCTCAAAATACTCTATTAGACTCCCCAAAGCATCACCCGAATCAGCCACCATGACGACCAAACTAGGCGCGCACTATAATCCACAATTGAACCCGAACTTAACCGAACTCGGGCCAATTCAATCCAATACTTCCAGCCATCGCATAGCACATTACGGGCCACTAATCCTCAATTAAATTGTCACACTAAGCCCGTAAAATAGCCACAAAATCAGCCACCATACGGTCCACAAATTTCATCCGCCAAGTCCACAATTTCGCCCAAATCAAGGCATCTATGCTTCGCCACATCACAGCACTCTATAGACCACTAAACCTCGATTAAATCATCACTCTCGGTCACCAAATGTGCCACAAAATCAGTCCCTAACAGCCACCGTTTGGATCACGAGTTTCTCCCGCCAAATCCACAAATTCGATCCGAATCGAAGCACCCAAGCTCAGCCGACTCACAGCACAATACGGGACTCTAAATCTCAATTAAATCATCACGACTCACCACCAAAACAGCCACGATAACAGCCCCTAACAGCCTCCACCGTTTAACCCCTAAATTAACCTAATTAACCCCTAAAACCCGTCTAGAAATGCAAATTGTCCTAATTAGGGCTTAGGGTCAAACTCACCGGATGTCCTAAGCTTCAAACCGAACCGAACACGTGGTAATGGCGGCTGGACAGCGGCGGTCCCTCGCCGGAACGATAACTTGGCGGCGGCGGCTCCGGCGAAGCAGCGCGGCGACGGCGACGGTCTAAGCTAATCCACGGCCTAGAGAGGGAGAGAGAGGGGCACGGTCAGAGATAGAGAGGGAAATGGAACGGCTGGACGGCCGGGCGAGGTGACGGATCCGCGCCGGAACAGTGACGGCGGCGGTGGAGCACCTCCGGCTCAAGGCCTCTCACGGCCAAACCGAGAGAGAGAGAGAGAGAAAGGGGAGGGAAGGGGGCTTGCCGGTTGTTTGTGGTGGAACACGGCGGCGACCCAACACCGGAGGCGGCGACGGCGGCAGGGGCCGGCCGGCGAGCCGCGAACAGCAGCGGCGGTCGGGCGCGAAAAGGCAAGCGGCGGCGAGCTCTGCTGCTGCGCGCGAGATGAGAAGGCGACATCGGGCGGCGGGCGCGGAGGCGCGGCGGCGGTGGCCCAGTGGAGCGGCGACGAGCCGAGCTCGTGCGCTCGGGAGGAGGAAGCAGGCGTCGAGCGGAGCTGCCGCGCGCGCGGCGGCCCAGACGCCGGTGCGAGGAGGACGGCGGCGTCGGCGGCCGGTAGGGTGGCGTCGGGCGGAGGCTGGATGGGCGGTCGAGCAGCGGCGGTGAGCGGAGCAGAACGAGCGGAACCGGGCGAGTTCGGGGAAGGAAGAAGGAAGAAGAAGAAGAGAAAGAAAGAAGAAAAGAAAAAGAAAGAAGGAAAAGAAACGAAGAGAGAGAGAGAGAGAGAGGTGGGGAGTGGGTGAGGCGAGGGACGTGGGCGGGGGGAGACGTGCGCGGAGAGGACATGCGCGGCAGAGGAGAGAGAGAGAGAGAGAGAGAGTAAAAGAAAATATTTGAACATTCAAATATTAATCGCGATCCGATGGCCCAAATTAAAAACCGAAAGTGGTCTACGGGTCCAAAATAAGCCTCGCACATAAAAAGGGACAAAGGCCAAATTAATTAGACCAAATCATAACGTGGGAGGTCTACTAGTCCAAATTCGCACGTGGTCAAAAACTCCCATTTTTCCATCATTCCTGACAATCTCAACGTTGGCTACCATAATATTGACACCGTCCAATTTATTTTGTCCCGAAACTCCCGGAAATCGACTGCCAAGTTCGGGATCCAAATAACGGCCAAATTTGATCGAGTGCGATTCTAGCGAAATCTCTAATTTAAAATGATAACCGGGAGTGATCAGTTCCCGGGCGAGATTTTACTATAAGCACACTGACAAATTACGCGTTTTATAAATCCCAAAAATGGGCCGAAATTCGGGATGTCACAATATTTCCTCCATCGTTTTTTGATTCGATGGAGCATCTCTTAGTTCACTTGCCTTATGAGACCAAAGTTGCAGGTCCCGTCCAATTTTGATGGATGTATCCATTTGAGAGGTAAATTTTTCTTTAAAATAAAGTTCAAATTACTTTATTATATATTATGTTCCGATAAGCTTCTTTCTATTGCAACTAGATTCTTATATCATTTGAAGAAAAAAGTGAAGAATAAGGCATGTGTTGAAGCTTCAATTTGTAATGCATATATTGTGGAAGAAGTGACAACATTTGCATCATACTATTTTGAGCCGCACGTGCAGTGCAAGAGGCGGAGAGCAGGCAGAAATGATGAGGGCCCCATTGATCCAAATTGCAAATCATTCTCTATTTTCAATTATCTGGGTCGACCAAGCGACGCATGTACGTTTCGTTACTTAATAGGCGAAGAATGGCATGCAGCCCATACATATATTTTACTGAATTGCCCAGAAGTCGAGCCATACTTCGAGTAAGTGTAAATTTACAAATATATGTATTGTGTGTTAAATATTTGCTAATAAATAAATGGTATTTATTACTAGGATTTTCCAAACTTCAATGTATGGACTACTACCAAATGAGTTTGACCGTTTGTGCGATGAACAATTTGTAGCATGGTTCAAAACATATGTAAGTTGCCTATGGACCAAAACCAAGTTATTAATATTTTATACATCATTTATTAAAATATATATTGTTGACTTTGCGTGTGTAATCTTAGGTTCACAGTAATCATGATGAACTTGGAGAGTAAGGATTGCTATATCATCTGTCATGGGGTCCACAGTTAAGAGTACGAAGTTGGCCAGCATATTTCATAAATGGATATAATTTTCACACTCAAGAATATGGAATGGGAAAAGCCACAATGAATAGTGGTGTGTCTGTTCGGTCATCCACTGGTGGCAATTCAAAAGATGATTTTTATGGCTTGTTGGATGAAATCATAGAGATAAAGTACCCTGGACCATTAATGATGCGGGTTGTGTTATTTAAGTGCAAGTGGTTCGACCCTGTCAAAGGAATGAAGGTGCATACGAAGTTTAATTCGGTTGAAATAAATCACAAGAAAAAATATATGAAATATGAACCATTTGTCTTGGCACAACAAGCAATTCAAGTATGTTATGCATCATATCCTAGTTTGAAACGTGACAAAGCTGATTGGTGGGCTGTATGTAAAATCAAAGTACGTAGAAAAATCGAGGAACACTGGAAGGATAGAGCCTATCAACAAGAGGAAGTTTATAACACGGTTGAAACTGAGGAATATAACATTCCAACTTTACGAGATCCATGTGGAGCAATGATAGATGTGGATCCAACTGAAATTTGCGAATTAAATGTAGAAGGTGGTACAGAATCTGATTTTGAGATTGATGATGAAGATGATGCTCATGAAGAAGATGAAGATCAAGATCAAGATCAAGACGAGGACGAAGATGCAGATTAAGACGAAGACGAAGACGAAGACGAAGACGAACATGAAGATTAAAATTTTTGTGACAAAACACTAATGATGTGTAATTATTATTGCGACATGTGTTATTTTGGTTGTCATAATTATTATTATTGTTCTTGTTATTATTGTTATTGTTATTATCATTATTGTTGTTGTCGATTATTCTTATTAATGTAATTGATCGTCGGAAAATTTGTCGCTAAATGACGGCAAGTCAAATATTATTCGTGCGATGACATTTACGATATTCTATTTTCCATTGGATTTGGATCGTCGCTAATTTCGTCACTCATTTTACGACAAAAACTTATTTGTGGCTACTGTTCATCGAAGAATTAGCGACGGAAGTGAAATTCGCGGCAATTTTTCGAATCCGTCGCAGATTTTGCGACGGATTCGAAAATGCCATTTATTTTTGGATTCCATCGCAATTTGCGACGGAAAAATAAATCTGTTGTAAATTTGTGACGGATTCGAAAATGCCCTTTATTTTTGGAATCCGTCACAAAATCTGTCGCAAATTTGCGACGGAATTATTTTTCCATCGCAAATTTGCTATTGAATTCAAACTTTAAACCACTGAAAGAAATTGTGCATATGGTGGTGAAAGAAATTAGCCCTAGAAAACGTACTGAACCTTAAAGAGAAAAGCAAATAGATAAAGACATTATCCAGATAGCATATACCTGGATGTGTAAATGGAAGCAGACTCGATCATGCGGAACTTCAACAGTGGAGGCATTCAAAATGCTAATGCCTTCAGCTTCTAAATTCCACAGAAGATTGGAAAGCTTTCCTTGGTCCCTTTTCATACAAATCTGAAGGACGAGTTCACCTTTAGCAATTTCACGCACTGAAATAGTCTGACGACCTTCATTACTTTCCGATGATGTGAGAGCTATCGTCGATAACTAATTGCTTGTTTTGATCCATCACAGATAACATGCTTTCCTTATGGAGGGTTAGCTCCTCGATTTCATTCTTGATCTCTGGAATGTACTCATGTACCCCATCAATTATAGCCGGTGCACCCTGTCTCTTCTGCATTTTTATGTAAGCATTGTTAATTCATTGCAAGATTGTAAAATATATAGTAATGGTGAACTGCAGGGGCGCTGAAAAAATTTCTCGCTGCAAGAATATTCTTTCAAAAATTGCTCACACATGTAAGAGTACAAACGGTTGACACACATAAGTTTCACAAAGGAATAAACATGACCACCTCCGTTGATGAAGCTAGTGGATATATGCAATATTTGGGAAAGCAACATATTACCTAGCTAATTGATAATTCAAGTAATTAACGATCCGACCTACATTAAATCTCACTTTTCATATTTATACATCATGAAGATTTGATGTTTTTCTCACTTTCTTTAGCTTGATTCACGCTCAAGAGAATATGTTAACTGTGAAGATTTGCCTCAATGGTTGCTCCTTCAATCTTAATCCTGGAGTGATGGAGACGGTTCAATTGGTGCTACACTAGGAGACCAGAAGAAAAAAAGCGAGAGAGAATAATTAGAGTAATTTGCGATGGAGGATAATTCCGTCGCAAATTTTGCAACGGAGAATAATTCCATCGCAAATTTGCGACGGAAGATAATTCCGTCACAAATTTGCGACGGATAATAATTCCGTCGCAAATTTGCGACGGATTCGAAAATGCCCTTTATTTTTGGAATCCGTCGCAAATTTGCGACGGAAAAATAATTCCGTCGTAAATTTGCGACGGATTAGAAATTTTTTTTTATTTTTGCAATCCGTCGCAAATTTGCGAAGGATTTATTTTTCCGTCGCAAATTTGCGATGGAAAAAAAACATTCGCGCACGTTTGAAATTTTTTCGCCCCTCTCTCTCTCTCTCTCCCCCCCTGCCCGCGCACGTGCCCCCCGGTCACGTCCGCTCAGGCCTGCATGGCAGACCTTTCCCTTCTTCTTTTTCTTTTCCTTTTTCTCTTCTTCTTCTTCTTCTTCTTCTTTTTCATATTCTTCTTCCGTTTGTCGTCGTCCGCCACGGCTCCCTCGCACTGCCCAGCCACCGCAGGCCAGTCGACCCGCCGCCGCACGCCGCCTTCTCGCCGACCCAACCGAGCCGCTTAATCGCCTGTCGCCGGTCCGCCCGAGTTGCCCAACCACCGCATGCCGCCTTCTTGCCGACCCAACCGAGGCGCCCGACTGCACGCCGCTTTCTCCGCCTGGACCAGACCGCCAGCCTGCCGTCGTCGCCTGCGCGCCCGGCAGCTCGCAGCCGCGAGTGTCGCCGCTCCGCCCGTGTGCTCGCCGCTCGCCTCGCCGAGCCGCCGCCGCCCGGCTCGCTCGCGCGCCTCGCCGAGCTCGCCGCCGCCCGGCTCGCTCGCGCGCCTCGCCCGAGCTCGTGGCCGTGGCCGTCGCCGCCTGCCAGCCGCCGCCGTCGCCGCCCAGCAACGGCCCGGGCTCGTAGCCGTCGCCGTCGCCACCCGGCGGCCGCCGCCCCCGACGCTCGTCGCCGCCCAGCCTCGTCCGGAGCTCGTAGTCGAGCTCGTCGCCGCCCGCCGCCGCCCGACGCCGTCCATCGCCCTGACCTCCCAGAGCTCGTAGGCGGCACACCGTCGCCGCCCGGCCCGCCGCCTACGCCGTAGCCGTCACTTTGCGCCGCCCAGCGGCCGCGCGACGCCGCCGTCGCCTTGCCAGCCGCCCGAGCTTGTGGCCAATCCTTTGTCGCCGCCCAGCGGCCCGCCAGTCGACGCCGCCTCGCCCGGCCCGCCGCCTGACGTCGTCGCCGACTAGCTCCACCGTCGTTCGCCCGGCCGTGGCCGAGCGCCGTGCCGAGCGCCTGGCCGACTAGCTGCCACTTGCGGCGGCGCCCGCGCCGAGCCCGTCACTGGCCGACCTGCCATTTTTCCCTATTGTTTGGTTTTTCTTGGCCTTGAACCAAGTAAGCGACTCCCTAAACCCTACCTAGTATAATGGGTATTAATCGGACTTGTTTAGGGATTGTTTAGTGTTGGATTGGTTGGCTAAGTTAGGGGCCGATTTCAGGATTGCATGTGACTTTGATCGATGTTTGCCTGGTTAATTTGTCGATTATGTGGCCGATTAAGCGTTCAATGACGATCGTGTGGTTGATTAGGGTGCGCATGGAATGCATTCCGGAACAGAATGACGATCGTGTGGTTGATTAAGAGTTTTTTTAGAAAATGCATAAAAAATGAAAAATTCTACAAAAATTCATAAAAATTTCTAGAAAATAAAAAAAATCATATTTTGGGAAAACATGAAATTTGGTGAAATTTTTTTTTTTAAATAAAAAAGCAAAAATTTCAAAACTTCACAAAATGGCTTAAAATACCAGTGGCCACCCACTTTGAGTGAAATTTAAATTTTTTGAGGCGTCCAAAAAAAATAATTAAAAAATTAAAATTTCCATAACTTTACAAAATAACTTAAAATACCTGTGGCCACCGACTTTGAGTGAAATTTAAATTTTTTTAGGTGCCCAAAAAAATTATAATAAAATAAAAAATTTCAAAACTTCACAAAATGGCTTAGAATACCTGTGGCCACCCACTTTGAGTGAAATTTAAATTTTTTTAGGTGCCCAAAAAAAATTAAAAAAATCAAAAATTTCAAAACTTCACAGAATGGCTTATAATAACTGTGGCCACCTACTTTGAGTGAAATTTAAATTTTTTTAGGTGCCCAAAAAAGTTAAAAAATAATAATAAAATAAAAACTTTCAAAACTTCACAAAATGACTTAGAATACCTGTGGTCACCCACTTTGAGTGAAATTTAAATTTTTTTAGGTGCCCAAAAAAAATTCAAAAAATTCAAAAAATTTAAAACTTCGCAGAATGGCTTAGAATACCTGTGGCCACCCACTTTTAGGCAGAAATTTTAATTTTTTTAGGTGCCCAAAAAAATTAAAAAAATTTAAAATTTTAAAATTTCACAGAATGGCTTAAAATACCTGTGGCCACCCACTTTGAGTAAAATTTAAATTTTTTTAAGTGAAAAAAAATCAATAAATCAAAACAAAGTTATGTTCTAGAAATCAATTTCTGGAGCAGAATTAGTCATGTTTTACCAAACAGATTTCTCCTTCAGAAATCAATTTCTAGCAACAATTTGATTTCTGGAGTAGAATGGTTACCATTCGCATCCTTAGTTGTTTAATGCCAATCGTATGATTAATTAGTTTAATCGTGTGGTTGATTTGCTTAATTGTGGCTGATTGGTTAACTATGGCCCGATCGTGTGGGTTGATTGATGATCGTGTGGCCGAAAACGAAGATCATGTGACCGAAATTGATGTTTCATGGTTGATCTTGTACTTGATGAATGATCGTGTGGTTGGAAAGTGGATCGTGTGGTTAATTATGGCTATTGTTGGCTTAGCATGGCATATCGTGATCATATATTGATGTTTGATATCAAAATGAGTGCGATTCATAGTATATTTGTTTGTAGGAAATTGCACGTCATAAACACTCGGCATTGGCTAATTAAGAGGATACATTTTCTGCTTCTGAAACAAAATAGTAAGCTTCGTCATGTACGTCATTATGTGTCCGTAATACGTGTTCATATTTTTTTACATATTTGTCTAACCTTCCTACTTGTCAGTATAAACGTGGAGGTCACTTGCATAAAAGACCAGCCCCTTTCTCGTCCTCGTCCCCGTCCCTTTCCTCTTCCCCTGCCCTTTCATCTAACCCTCAACCACTATATGCTGATGGACAATATGGACACATTGGCCCTTCCTCCAATACTCAAGAACATGTTAGGGGACTTGGACACATGCGAACTGAATCTCCTTCAGTTCCATCTCCTTTAGATCCATCTCCTTCCGTTCCACCTTATTATTCAGCGCAACAATCGAATAATGACAGAAACACAGGTGAAGAAGATAACCGATTCATGATATGCCCATTTGGAGATTCGTAAGTACTTCATTTTTTTTTTTAAGTATATGTAATATTTATGGTTTTAGATATGGATGTCAACTGAATTGTCGATGTTGCACAATATCCGTATGTTTGCAGATTCACGGATGTTCCGTGTAACAGCCCGAATTTCGATGTAATTCCGGGATCAATAAAATTGACAATATTTCGCATTTTATTTTAGTAAGTCTCGCCCAGAGCTGATCACTCTCGGGATACTAACCAATAGGGTATGGCTAATTAGAAAGCGGTACGTGGACCAAGGATCCGATCGCGAAGCGGACACCGATCACTAGAAATGATGAGAGAATATTATGAACCAATGTGGATCGATCTTAGGAAAGGTAACGGATTTGGTTTGGCCAAGGCCAACGATGTACAATCGGATTCGCAGGTGATTCTGCATGACCGAGAGTGCACGTGGCCAACCAGTCCTGAACTTAAACCGGACGATCGTGACCTCTGGGACTAGTGATAATTTCTCATTCTCTCAATGATCAGGACCGTCATGACTCGGATAACCCTAGGTCGATACGCGTAACCTCTAGACAGCCGCCCGTTAGTGAGAGACCCTGAAATTGGAAATCGAGCGAGTTTTGATCATGAAATTGGGCCCGGATTTCGATGTCGATTTTCGATGGCTTAAGAGATTATTTTTGGGAATCTGACGTCATATTATGCTGGCCACGCATATTTTGAGTTAGTACAGTTGAAAATTGGAATTTCGGTTCGGGGGTGAAAAAAATTACGATTTTGCCCCTCGGGATGCCAGCGTTGATTCTGAGGCCGTCTGAGATTATTTTTCGAGGCCGACGCCATTTTTGGGTGGCCACGCATACCAGGAGTCGTTATGGCCAAAAAGGGACTAGTGATAATTTCTCATTCTCTCAATGATCAGGACCGTCATGACTCGGATAACCCTAGATCGATACGCGTAACCTCTAGACAGCCGCCCGTTAGTGAAAGACCTTGAAATTGGAAATCGAGCGAGTTTTGATCATGAAATTGGGCCCGGATTTCGATGTCTATTTTCGATGGCTTAAGAGATTATTTTTGGGAATCTGATGTCATATTATGCTGGCCACGCATATTTTGAGTTAGTACAGTTGAAAATTGAAATT